ACACACACACACACACTCACTCCCGTCTCTTAAATGTGTCCGCGTTTGGAGCTGACACCACTGATTCGGGAAGATTGTTCCAAATAGTTTTGACCCTATTCTAAAAAAAGTTTGCCCTCACACACAATTTGCTTCTTTGCTTCTGGAGCATACCACTCATACCCCTGCCCCCCACACACGCACACACAGACACACAAACACACACACACACACACACTAACACACACACTCACACACACACTCACACACACCTACACACACACACATTACTACCGCAATCTCCAATTAACTTAGACGGGGGGTGGGGATGGGGGGGGTTGTTAACCATAACTTTTTTTCTGCAAAAGCTTATACGCTTTTAGTGATTGATTCAGTTACGAGAAAGAGGGTAGACATTTTCATGTATTCTTTTTTTAAAGAACGTTATAATTTAATGCACGATAGCAGGCAGGAAACAGATTCAACAAAACAAAAGGACGTATAATATAGGAAGAATAGATGGAAAGTTTTATAATTCTAATTCTGCTTTTTAACCACTGAGATTGACTGAATGATAAATTGGATTAGTTTTTTTTTTTTTTTTTTTTTTTTTTTGGGGGGGGGGTACTTTCGAAACTCCCGTGCCCAGAGCTGATTGATCGATTGCCTCAGTAACGGATGGAGTTGGATGATTGTTCTGTTTAGTCTATTCCTTTTTCGTTTAAAGAAGGGTGAACAGGTGTTAAGAAACCAGACGTTCGTTTTTGTCTCTGGCTGGCATTGCGAAGACGTTTTATTTTTGGGGTGGATGATTTTTAGGGGGGTTTGGGGTTGTTTTTTTGTAATCTCTTGCTCAACCCTGCGCTAATGACGCCATCTGGTTTGTAAAACGATATGCCCTTAATTTGTCAGCAGCTTCTGTTTGGTATACATGTAGCCAGTGTGCAGGGTTGTGAAATTTGTTTTTGTTGGGGTGTTTGTTGTTGTTGTTGTTGTTGTTGTTGTTGTTGTTGTTGTTGTTGTTGTTGTTGTTGTTGTTGTTGTTGTTGTACTAAAACTAAGGAAGATGTCATGTTATAGTCAAAAGGGCTGCGTGAAAGGAGATGGAAAGTGCAAGACATTGCATGTGTGTTAAATTCATGTATCTGCACTTGTACCAAGTACTCAGACAAACAATAGTAGGTTTACGATCGAACTGACACTCCAGACCTTGAAGATAGAACTGGAATTAAAGCCTGGCTTGAAACAGTGTTTGATGTCATATCAGTTAGGTAATTTAGTATCATGATTCGAAACAGGTTAGTCCAAATAATGCTTTACCATTCAATACAACAGGAATAGTTTGACCAAGTGAATGTTGGTGTGCCCTAGCTTAATGGGTGTTATGCTTGACGGCGAGGTTTGGGGTCCTGTTTCAAACTTGAGTTTCTGAGACAGTTTTTCATGGTTCTGTACGCCGTTGACTAGTTTAAAACAAAGGCTACCGTTAAAATAAGACCCCCCCCCCCTTTCCCCTTTCTACAATTGAAATAACTCCTAATTTTAGTATAATTCAATATTTGGTATTTTATCAACGGATTGATTAAATTATATTTGTGATGCAGCGTGGTGGAATCAGGCTCTCGTCAATTTTTGAGCATGTAGAGTTATTTGTATCATCTTAAAGCTTGTTCATTTGTCTTTAATTGGATGAAAAAAATATCCATTTACCTTGAATACAAGTCGAGATATTTGCGAAAGAAGGAGGTGGGGTCACCTGTTTTCAGAGATAAAATTTGTGAGAAAATGGCGGCCAAAGATTAGTTATTTCCTTAGCTTAAGAGTCCGTGGTAACTGAAAATTTACATTCTTTGTGCCTTTAATCAACGTTTTTTTCAGAAAAATCCACACAGAAATGAGTTCTTTAATGGGCATGAAAGGTGTTGAGCAAAAAAACAAAAAATTAATAAAAATTCAGAAACCTGCGGAAAAATGCAAGTTTCTTCACTTTGATTATTTTGACGAGAGCCTGATTCCACCACGCTGCCTCACATTTTATTTAATATTTTTTTTGCGAAAGAATTTGTGACGGTGCCATTCTTGGCTATCTTCGAATAGTGGTTTCTTTCAGGGGAAAAGGGGCGGGTTTTGGTCTGTGTGGACTGAGACAATCGCTTTCGTCTTCCTGTTTTGTTTCCCCATAACTCTGTTTTGTGTTTTTCTCGTTCCTCTCACTGCCATTCTTTTACTTCAGCTTTATTCTCTGTCTTTTCCCAAGCACTTAAATAAGGCTGTTATTGTGCCAAGGTTCTCTTCTTAGTTTTTTGTTGTTTTTGTAAGAGTTTTGCGGCACTCGCAACACAATCAAGTCATGAATGCCGAAGAATAGAAGTATTTGCTAGAAAGTAACATACAAATAAAAAGAGAGATAAGGACGATAGATGCTTGAATATACGAAAGAAGGAGCAAATCACACCACAGCACCCGCCAACCACCCACTGCTCTTCTTCACCCCAGACTTGATTATTGCAAGCAGATGAATTGAAATCTCCGGACTTATTCCAGTAGTCACGCAAGTTTATAATAAATCATGTCCCTTTGGTTGGAATGGAGAGCTCCTTCTATTTCCTCCTCCGGCAGGAGGCAAGGCCCGTATAATAAATTACTTTAGTGTGCAAAATGTGCGAACCGCAAGGGAGAGCGACTTTCCACCACACACAAGGTTTGAGGCAAAACTTTTGCTGACGTTACTTGGCCTGGCGTTTAGGAGTCCGACACCAGGAGCAAGATGAAGAGGGTAAAAAAGAGAAGGAGGAAGAGGAGAAGGAGGAAGAGGAGAAGGAAGAAAGTGGGAATATGTCATTTGTAAGAAGAGAGAGGGAGATGGGAAGAAAAGTAAAGGAATAGGAAGACAGTGATGATGGTGGTGTGACGGGGGGCCAGGACAATGGGAAGAAGAAGAAGAAGAAGAAGAAGAAGAAGAAGAAGAAGAAGAAGAAGAAGAAGAAGAAGAAGAAGGAAAGAAAGAAAGAAAGAAAGAAAGAAAGAAAGAAAGAAAGAAAGAAAGAAAGAAAGAAAAGAAACAAAGAAAGAAACAAAGAAAGAAACAAAGAAAGAAAGAAAGAAAGAAAGAAAGAACGAAAGAACGAAAGAAAGAAAGAACGAAGACAGACAGACCGAATAGAGAGTGGTAAAATCCAATGGCTCCCTCCACACCCGTATTTACTGTCTTCTGGATCTTTAGACCTGAGCAGAACTTAATTCCGCAGGGGCTTGGACGATACAATTAGCTGACGACTAAACGGCAACCACGGAGTAGCTCAAAGGAATTTGTGACTAATGAAGCCGCTGAGTCGGTGACGACTGGTCAAGGGGGGTCACCCAAGCTGGGTCAGTCGTTGTGACACCTTGTGATGGATGGAATGGCCTAAAACCATTGTCTCTGCCGGCTTGCTTGTGGTTGCGATTACAGAACAGGCTCCGGGTCGAAAACAGTCTATCTGCTGAAGGCTACGTTTCATCACGGAGTGCGAAACAAAAGCCGACTAGGTACTATGAGCTAGTTTTTATATTATACGAAATACTAATGAGATATCTAGACTGCTACTCAAGTTGCTTGAAATCTTTTTTGTTATAAGGGTCACTTTAAAGATGGATTTTTGTTTCAGACCTTCATTGATAAACGACAAATTTTCTTGATTTTTTGCCCCCTTTTTACTTCGACGATTTGTAAAGGGTTCTTTGAAAACGGTACATTGACTTTTGGGGATAGAAATTTTTAATTCCCGCCGAGATACCCTAAATGCGGCATGCTGGTGGCCATAGCCCATCGAAATGCTGTCTATGAGTCTGGGGTCTGTCTTTCGAAGGACTTAAATCATCACAGCCCCTTCCGAAACACACACAAACACACACACACAAACACACACACACACACACAGTGACACACACACACACACACACAGTGACACAGACACATACACAAGCTCCCTCTCTGACTCTCTCTCTCTCTCTCTGACTCTCTCTCTGGCTCTCTCTCTGACTCTCTCTCTCTCTCTCTCTTTCTCTCTTTCACGCACACACACA